GAACCTTCTTGAGACCTCTTTCCCCCACCCAGCCCCACTCTCCCCTTCCCTCACTCTCTCTCATAGAAGGAAAGAACTTCCGTTGCGAACAGGGGCTAGACGGAGGAAAGGATCTAATTAGCTCCACTGCACGGTTTGCTGTCATTGAGTTAGTGAGCTCTTACTCTATGACAGATACCATGTAGAACATATACGTAAAATCCTAAGGATCTAATCCTAAGTCTCTGTAAGGCAGGTGCTATTCGTATGGCCATTTTACGGGTGAGGAAATGATCCACTCTTCAGCAGAAATGACCCTGGATGCTCCATTTTGAGCCCCTCATTGTACATATGATGACCATGAGGCATAAGTGGTCTGGTCTGGCCCAAGGGCATCCAGCGAATCAGTGAGGTCAGGGCTTGACCCCAAAACTTCCTGACTCCGTTCTCCTTTCTCTCCATTGGGTTCATTTGCCCCTTTGGCTTTCTGTCCTATAGCACTTAAGAACAGATATAGAAATTGGGTAAAACGAATTTTTGACAAGCACAAACAGAGACAGAAAGCCAAGCTGAAAAACCAGCGAGAGGGAATTGATCAGGTTTGAGGAATAAGCCACTGTGGCATCTGGTAAAAGATATGAGAGAGTAGATGCAGATCATGCCTCCTCAGAGGAGGAAAAGAAGTGAAGAGAAGAAACAACTCACGTCCTTAGGTTCAACTGTCATATTTACAATCTCCCCTCTCAGGTATAAAAATAACCTTGATGAGAGAAATTTCCATGGGAAAAAAAAATGGAAGAACTGGTAAGAACAAAGAACTAATGAGATTAGATGTCAAAAGGGTTAGTCTTTTTCCTGTTTATTAAACATCCAGTAAGACAGTCAAGAGTATATAACCACAGCAGTGGATAAGTGAGTGGGTAGAAATCAGGCATTGTGAGATAAGGGTGATTCAGATAATCAAAATGATAGAGAGAGTGGGGAATTTGCTCACCGAATTAAGGCCAGTTTAAAAGCTCAAGGCAGTGAAGGTGGTACTTGAAATGATGTCTAGGAGTGAGTAACAGGGGTCACTCTGTGTGTGCTCCTATTCCACTCCATCCTAAGGAAAAGCATTACAAGGAAGAAATGGCCAGTTTCTCACCTTTCTTAATGCATCACAAGGATCAGATCCAAGCACAAATCTCTCTTAAAGAGCTTGGATAAGCACCACAGTGTGCCGAGTAAAACAGACACAAAGAACCCCAATGTGGCTTACTTAACTAGCTAATTGTTAACTGGCAGGAGGTGGGTGATGGCAAGGAGTGGAATGGGCCCACCTTCTGCATGAATGAATTCAGCACATGAAATTCATGTTCATATTTACATTTATAACTTACAGAATTTCTATGTCATTGACCCCAAGCTGATAAACAAAATTGCAAAGTTCATTTTAATTTCACAGACCTGGCCAATCTCATCAGTCTCCCCATTAGGTTTTCATATTAAAAGAAAGAGAGAAAAAAATTGAGAAAGCATATGTTTATAGCCAAGAATAAATATAACAATAATAAAGGAAATAAAAAAGGAAAACTGACCTTGGCACAGTTGCTTAAATTTTTCCACCTTTCTCATATGGACAGTTTCCAAGTTCTACCATTTCAAAGAAAACACCTCATCGAAGAACACGTAATTGCATGTTGTTTCCATTCTTTAAATGTGGGAAATGAAGCCTTTTCACATTCACATCATCAGCTGTGCCCCAGGAAACCTTCCATTCTTTCCAAATTAGTTTTTGTATCATTAAACCAATCAGCATTAGGTGTAGGATTATTTTCTAGAATAAACCCTGAATCATTACCTACATCATGTATGTAATAAAGTCAAATAATGACATCATTATATAGCACATGAGTGCTGACCCTCAATGACCAGGACCTAAAAGAAATTGGGGCAGTCCTAATAAGAATCAGGCAGGATGCCTAATGAAAATCAAGCAGCAGGCCTAATAAGAAACAATGTATTTTGCCTCTCCTTCAAATTCACTTTTGATTTGCTTTTCATGAGAATCCCTGTTTGAAGTAGAGCTCCCGCAGGCTAGAATTCTCAGAGCTAACTCTGAGATGAGTAACTCCCAGGTGGTTCTCTGGGCCATTTGATCTGGGACAAGAACCACTCGCTCATGCAGTAAATATTTATTGGGCATTTACCATAACGTAGGCTTCGACTTGGCTGTTTTTTATTCTACAAACATTATTGAGTGACTAGTGCAAGCATGGATGGTGCTAGACTCAGAAATCTAAGCAATAAATAAGAAATGTCATAGACACCACTTAAAGCATATTTATTACATGCACAAATACTTATGCGTTATTTATTAATAATTTCATATTCCCAACAGCCCTATGAGGAAGGGTATGCTTTGCACCACTTTACATGGAAAGTAAGGCTAATCAAGATGACAAGACTCGTCCAAGGTCACACTGCTGGAGAGGGGTAGTGATGGGGGGAAAAATTCATCCTGTGTCTAGTTCAAGCAGCATGTTATATTCCATTGGAACCATCTGAAATTGATGTTGGACCATTGTTTGACCTACAAAGTGACCCGTAGGTTTTTCCAGAGGAGAGCTCAGGGTATGATGGTGAAGACAGAAAGACAGACAGAAATCAAAATAAGAGATGATTTGCCGGATGATGATTCCCCACATCACCAGGTGAGCATGCCCAGCCCCCTCCCAACCTTGCCAGTCACCATTCTGTTCCCTTGCCTGTGAGCCCAAATCTCTTTACTTCCTGTGGCCACCCAAAATCCAGCACAGATATAAGAGAGTGTATCATGTGCTCTTCTGTGTCCTCCTTTATCTCATTCTGACTGAGACCCAAACCACTCCCATCATAACTCAAAAAAAAAAAAAAAAGATTTGCCAATATTTGCCCTGCCACAGAAGCAGAAGCAACTAGCCTGGACAGAGCGGACCCAGTGTGTGCTTAAGGAGACCAAGGCCAAGCACACGGAGGATGTCAAATGGATTTTTGCAACGTTCTTTCAGATAGATTATTTATAAACGTGAGTGTATGACTTATGTTCTGTAATGCACCTTGCAAATCTGAAAGAATGGATATAATATGAGCATCCACATGTCCTTGACAATATATAAGTGATTTTTTAAAAGATGGAAAATTTCTCTCTTCTATTGTGCACAGCGGATGAGCTCCGAATAATCCAAGCACCTCACCTCCACCCTTCCCACTCCATGGATTCCACCAGTAACTCAACATGCATGAGTCTTGAGGGAAGATTAGAAACTTATTTATCTCTGAGTATGATTAAGGATGAGAAAAGTGATGAAACTGGTTAATTAAAATTATGTTTACCGGGAATTAACCTTTTGCTTCCAAGACTATCAGCCTCTTGAAAGCAAGGGCCACACCTTTAATTCTGAATTTTGCACAGGTTAAATAGCACACAGCAAAAAAAAAAAAAAAAAAAATGTTGCTTGGTTGCTTTATTTAGGTCTCTGGTAGTATTTGTAACTACGCAGGAGATAAACCGAGTAAGAAATTGTGTTTGTAGCCTTGATGTTTGTAATCAGAAAAGCGCTGAGTTGCAGGAAACAATGTTTTATCAGTCAACCATTAAAAATATTCCACATGGTATTAGGCCTATGCAGAGCCCAAACTGACCAACATGAAATACTTCATCTCCTTGGACAACACATCCCGTAAATTATGAAAAGAAAATGGTATTTTATGAGAGCCAGGCAACCTCATTTTCTAGGCAGCACATTTCATTCATATTGCGGTTATTAATAGGTCACTTACAGGATTCATGACCAGTGCCACTGTATGAAGGCACCCATACATGGACAATCACCGTGGTGAAAAGTAGTATATCTCAGTTCTTTCCAGGGCAGTAACTTTATCAAAACTATCACAGGTGTCCTTTGAAATCTACTCAAACATTTTCTAATTGGATTTTAGGTTGTGTTCACCAGAGTCCCTAGAAGAGCTTCTTCTTCTTCTTTTTTTTTTTTTTTTTTTTTTTTTAACTTCGAGACTTGCAAAATCTCCTTCTCGCTAATGAATTTTGCCTACAAAAGTTACCATTTCCTCCATGGACTACGGCGTGAAAAAGTGCCTGGTTGTACTTTTGTAATTCTCGAATCAGCTAGTCTTTTGCATGAGCAAACATATTCAATATTTTTAAAATTAGAAGTTGAAGAACACACAGGATGAGATGTCACTATAAAGGGAGCTAGGACAGATAATTAAGGATTAAAATCTAAACCATTACCTCTCACACAAGGTAGAGCAAGAAGCACAGATGGCTTCCATCTCCTTAGAGAAATACAGCTACAATGTATCAGACAAGGCATTCTCTAGTTTTCATTATAAAGTTAATATTTATCTTAGAGCATTGAGTTTATCTTACCAACATATCTCATTCAGAAAAGGAAGAATTTCTTGATTTACCACATTAAAGTAAATATTGCTATGAGATACATGTTAAATTTTTAATAAAATCACCCTATCTTTGTTGGATCAGAGAGCTGCTTGAGCTGAGATACAAACAAAACCAAATAAAAATACATAATTCCAAATACGGAGCGTCGCAGCACATGGTGACCAGCCTGCCCGTGATGGTTGCAGTTTTATGTGACTGAGCATTTCAGAGCTTCAGTTAAGTTTATTATAAGTCATCATCTTAGAGCTAAAATGGGCAATTACTTGTAATGCTGACCCACAGGATCATGTTTCAGAACTGCATACTCCTCATGCTTGAACTATGCCCCCCAAAAGCACAAAAGTGAAATTCAATTCAACTAGATTTACAAACATCATCCTTTGCCCTGTGTGGATATATTTTTAGTATGGAAGATTTATTAGCATGGCGTGTTTATCTTTGCCCAAGATAGAGCTAGATGTAAAAACCCAGTTTGTTTTCACTCATCCTATATCCTTTAAGTTAGCAATAAAAATCCTATTACTGAAGAGCAGAAACAACCTGATGGAGTGATCCTGCTTCTCTCCCTCTTACAAAGGAGAATGAGAAGTGGGCAAGCCCAGGAAGGCTTCACATCTTTATGAAGTGATTCTCCAGCAGCTGGCGGTTAGTGCTCATGGAACCTCTTTCCATCCGGGAATAAGCTCCAGAGAGAACTCAAGACAAAATGGACACAGAAGAGCGTTCTGCTTCAAACCTTCCAGGTCAGAAGGAAACAATAAAGTCAAATCCTCAAAACATAGTATATAAATTAAATTATCTATATTCAGGACTATATCTCACCTCAGCCTGGCCTCCTTTGCATTGCTCCCTGGAACAGAAAAGCACCACAGGCCTTAAGACCACAGACTCTGCAGCCATACTGCCATACAACTGAATTCCAGCTCTGTTCCTTACTAGCTGTGTGACCTTGGGGAAGTAACACAACCTCTCTGGGTCTGGATATTCTCATCTATAAAAGGGAGATAATAATTATATTTGTCTCCTAGAGTTAATATGAGCTTTAAGTGAGTTAATATTTGTTAAGCTCCTGGAAAGAGTCTGACACCCAGTAAGTGGCACTGTGTAAGTATTTGTTAAATAAAGTAAAAACTTGGTTCAGCCAGCTTCCTTGATTTATACCATCAGAGAACTAGAGATGAATTCAAACCCTACCTCTTGCTCCAACTCCACATATTTTCTCCTCCCCCTCTGCCCAACTCATTGGCCTTTTAATCATAGTCAGAAGTACTTTTTCTCTTAATAACAAGAAAAGCTAAAGTTTAGTGACCATTCCATATGTACTAGGTTAATTACCTCATTCAATCCTCATAGAAACCAGTGAAATTAGTGTTATTGTTATCCCCATTTAACAAATAAAGGTTAAGTAAATTGTCCGAGATAACACAGTTAGGATGGAGCAGAACCTGGATTAGAACCCAGATGGCGTTGAGGTTTGCTTCATAGAAAGAAAATATATCACACCACAAGAAATTTCCTGAACTAATCCTCGTTCAAAAATCCCTCCTACCCTAGCCAGACTCACTCTGTATCAGCTAATACCCAGACAACCTGCAAATCCATGAGCATGAATGTTGCTTTAAGCCACAGAGTTTTGGGATGGCTTCTGTTATAGTATGTTTATAACAAAAGCTCACTGATAGAGGCTTTTTGTATGCTTTCGATAAATGGCAACAACCCCAAATTTGAAAACGCTTTTATTTTTTTAAAATACTTTATTTATTTCTTTGAGAGAGAGAGAGAACACAAGCAGGGGGAGGAGCCGAGGAAGAAGGACAAGCAGACCCACTGCTGAGCAGGTAGCCTGACACGGCGCTTGATCCCAAGACCCTGGGATCACTACCTGAGCCAAAGGCAGACACTTAATCGACTGAGCCACCCAGGCGCCCCTTGGAAACACTTTTAAACTATGAAACAAAGCTATGTTGAAAGCCTGTATATTTTCTTTGACTACACACACACACACACACACACAATGATTTTAGGCTGATTGTTTAAATGCAGCATGAATAAAGCTTCTCCTAGAAAAACAGTCCTTTTTTCCTTAACACTACATTTCCCCATATTTCAGGTTAATGTGCTTTTATAAACAACAACAAAATGGAATTGCTAATTTTACGAAAGATCCAGGATTCCATGAAGTCAAAGAAAGTGCTATCATAAGACTGTAGGACAGGTAATGCCAACAACCAAAACAACCAGAGTTAAGCCAGTCAACCATCAGAGAAGAGAAATATCAACAAGTGTGATGACACAATAAGTGTTTTCAAAGAGATCGATTCGCGTATCAAAGAATTAAGGGATTCCCTTACAGAAACTGATAGTCTTTAAGTAACTCTAAAAAAAAGATTTCTTTTATGATCATACTATGCAAGTAAGCCAAGACAGCAACTCCTCCTGCAGGAGACAGAGCTGAATGCAAGAATGCAAGCTGGATTCTGCCCAAAAGATAAAGAAAAATACTGGATACATTTCTTGGTATATAGTTGAAAATAAAATCTAAATTTGGTTAAAAATATGAGCAGCTGAACATATTTTTATAATTCCTTTTTTTTAAGATTTAGTTTATTTATCTGTCAGAGAGAGAGAGAGCACAAGCAGGGGGAGCGGCAGGTAAAAGGAGAAGCAGACTCCCCACTGAGCAGGGAGCCCGATGTGGGGCTCGATCCCAGGACCCTGGGATCATGACCTGAGCTGAAGGCAGAAGCTTAACCAACTGAGCCACCCTGGTGTCCCTCTTTATAATTCTTAATTTTATTGGTCATGATAAAAGCCCCCGCAGGCCATTTTTACCTGATCACATTTTGGCCAGCATTTTTAGGTGGATTCACTTGAAGAAGCCTTTTCCACCAGCACCAATTATTCTCAGTTAACAAGGTAAGGAGGACTTCCTCTCCCACATTTCTCTATTAAAGAGTTTCCAAAGAGTAAACCCAACTAAGTTATAAGAAGATTATAACAAGAGTAATTCTGCTATCTGGTGGCAAAACACATAAACAACAAGAGCAGGTGGTGGGATTGTGAGTACCAATGAATGGGTCTAATTTGTATTACATTCTGCAAAAAAATGACAGTTTCTAATCTGAACTAAAAACAAACTATTTAAATTTTGTCAAAGAATCATTAACATCAGAGGGGAAAAAAAAGAAAGGAAAAAGGTAGAATATCATTGAATACTGTGTTAGTATTTTAGAGACCTTGCATATAATTTCATAGAAAATTGGGGTCACTAAGTCCTTCCTTCACCAAGAAAGAACAACTCTCCAAAGCAGTTCAATTACCACAAAGATAAACTGGTCAATGTGCCATTGTGATATTAAATGCCTCCTCTGACTTAGAATCATACAAAATGAAGTTGAAAGCAGAAAGAGATCTTAAACATCGTCTAGCCTGACATTTTCATTTTACAGATGAGAAGACAGAATCCATGAGATTAAGTGATTTGTCTATGACCACACAACAGGTTAGAGTCAATGCAGGGTCTAGAATCTAAGTCGCGACTTGAGGGCCAACACTATTCCTCCCTTTCTCTTCACTGACAAATGGCAGCAGTTTCCAAAGAGAATTTTGACCAAAGCCTATGTTTTCCTCATTGAGCCCCTTTCTCCCAATGAAAAGAGGTCAAGGGTTATATCGACAATGAGTTCAGTATCATTTTCCATACTTAAACACAGCAGAGTCTTTAACCCTCAAAGCAAGATTGCAGGTGCTCCTTTGTGTGACCTCCAGCCAAGGCAGCCTCTGGATTTCCTCCCAACCCACTCCCATAACCAGGTGCCCTAGCAGAACACAGCCTAAACAATGGCCTCAAACTGTGGTCTCCGGACCGGCAGCATCAATATCAAAAGAGAACTTGTTAGAAATGCACATCCTTGGGTCCTTTCCCAGGCCTCCTAGATCTGAAAGTGGGGCCCCATTCTGTGCTAACAAGCCCTTCAGGTGACTACTGCCCACTCAAGTTTAAGAACAACTGCTCTACACAACCTATACGTACCATGGCTACCTTAATAAAATCTGAGAGTGCTCCCCCTGAGCTGTGGTCCTTTATCTTATACGGAAATGCCAACTTACTTGGTGAGTGTGTTTTCGGACCTCAATTTTGAAGCAGTAGCACCAAACTTTCCTGACAGCCATTGTTCCAATTTGCTAGTGGAGTCCATTCCTATCGTTATTCGCGATTTGGGGGTTTTGGTTTGTTTTGCTGTATTCTCGACAGATAATGAGTTTTCCTATCAAGGTAGAAATGACCAGGAGGGGTAGGAACCATCTCAAGAGCATAAGTAGGACAAGAAACATCTCCCTTGCCTTCCCCTTCCTCTTCCTCGTCTGCTTCTTACTCCTGTGGCTCCATCCCAGCTTGCTCAGCCAAAACCATCCCTTCAACCACTGCTGGCTCTTGTCTCCCCTAAGTGCTGCCTATAAGGCCCCTGCCCTTTCAGCTCCCAGAACTGCCACCTCTGCCCCTTTTCCCTCCACTCTTTACCTGCCGAGACGTCCACATTGCCTGCTAATTTGGCTGCTTGGTCTCTTAGCTTCAAAAGACCAGGTAATCTCAGTACCTACAAGAGACTTAAAGTCTAGCTAGGTCCATCTAATACAGAAGACAAAAAAAAAAAAAAAAAAAAAAAAAACTCAGGTTGGAGTAAGTTAAATAAATTATTCACTTGATATACAGCTCTTTCAGTTAAAATAAATAAGATCCTATTTTTTTTTCTATTATGCACATCTTTCTTGCTTGAGCCCATCAGTTTAGCCCCTCAAAATCAAGTTAAAGTTGGTTTTGTCATTATATGCCTATGCTTCCTAGCTTAGGTTCACCAAAAATTTTTTAAGTCTGCCCTTTGTATTTTCAACCAGACTCTGTTGAGAATAGTCAGAGTTCTAAGACACTCAGTACACCTGAGAGACCTTCCTTGAGGTTCTCATCAGACATTGGTTCCGACAGTTCAATCCAAATAATAGTATTATCATTCACTCTGTATTTTAATATCTTCACAAAGATATGCCTTCTTTCAGCACCTCATATGCACCATGGACAGTTCTAGGTGCTGAGGATATGGTAGTTAAGAGAATGGGGTGGGAGAAAGGAAAGAACCTTCCCTCATGGAGCTTACATTCTAGAGGAACACACAAACTAATCAGATAATGTGTCTGAGGGCAGTAAGTGCTACGAAGAACAATGAAGCAGAAGCGGAGAATACGAAATGTTAAGAAAAGTAACAATTTCAAATAGGGTGACCAATAGAGGCTCATTAAGAAGGGAACATTTAAATATCTTGAGATACTTGAACGTATCTTACATTTTGCTAAACCAACATTTGTTTGACATTACTAACTCTTCGATAGTCTTGTTGATTTCTAAGAATCACCAAAACCCATCCATTTTTAGATTACTCAAAATCCACTTGTTTAACCATACTGGAATTCTGGAATTTTCTAGAAGTTAACGTCAATCTTATAAATTGTATTTTCCTGAATTTGCCCTGTTTTTCCAGAATCAGTAATTTCAGAGATACCAGGAAGGAAACAACAAATACTGGTGTGTATATAAAAATAGATAGAAAAGGCAATGCTACCTCTGCAGAACTATCTGATTTCCAACAAGGAAAAATACTATGGAAGTTACTATTTAGGAAACATGTTTTTCCCCTTTGTGCCCTTTTCTACTGAAAGAAAAATATCAGTGTTTATTATTATTATTATTAAAAGCCAGCTTCACAAGCCCCTAAGAACTCAGCAACAAACTGTGAAATGGCCACATGGGTAGAAGAGAAAAATTGTGGGAGAAAAAACAGGATGAACCTTTAAAACATTTTTTTGCAGCCAACTGTATCCTTTTTGTCCCAGCCCAAACTAATAAAGACATCATTTATTTATCCAAAGCACCTCAAGTCCAGTATAGAGTCTGCATTGTCCGATAGATGTCTTTTTATGCCACTTCACACTTGGTTCACACAGAAACAAGTTCAAGTCATTTGGCCAAAGTCATGTGCCAATGGTTTCTAGTTTTGTCTATTTTAAAACTGAAGTACTTAACACCTTACCTTTCTTCTTGTATTCACCAGAATCCACTCTGCCCTTCTAAACTTCTCTGCTCAATTC